TTTTTTTCTTCGCATTCCCGCCTCTTACGTCATAGCATAAGGGAAAAAGAGAAACGAAGGCTCGTTAACGTGGAACATTCCCTTTATGATAGATGGGAAGCTGGGCCATTTAGACACCCTTATATGAAGGTGTGGCCACAGAGACAGGGAGCCTTGCTTGACACGGTGTACACTGAAAGGTAGAGAGAGAGAGAAGGGGGGGGGGGGGGAAGAGTACCAGAGGGTTCAGAGTTGGGAGAGATAGTCTCTAAGAGTAGAGTCAGTGCGGGCCGGATAGCCTGGGGGTATCCCGTGGACATGGACATGCCTACCAACAAGCAAAAGGGTCACGGGCTTTCGGCCTTCATCTTCACTCAACGTCTTTTACTCTTTTCCCTTTATAACCCCCTCAAAGACTCTCTTTCAGCCGCCCGTTTCCACATCGCACATTCCTCTCGCCTGACACAACTCCGCATGGCGACCACGTCAGGTGTTGCGAGGGGGGAATTTTGTTATTTCAGGGGGGGGAGGGGATTTGGGGAGGTAGGCACATGTGGCTAGCACGTGCTATTTTTTTTTTTGCTGGAAGACTGGCCCATCTCCAGGGTGTCCAACTGGCACCCGCTTACTATCACACGCTCATTCTGTGTGGATCTTGGCAACCTCTGGTCAGCTTGTGTCTCTTGAGAGTAGCCAGGAATTTCTTTTATTTTTGCCAAAGGGATATAATGCCAGCACAGTAGAAGGCGGAAATGTTGGCCGACTAGTCGCAATTGACTGCCAATTGGGCTGTGCCCGTGTCGTTGAACTCGCGATGCCTAGAATGTCACTTACTGGTTCTGGTTCTCTCGGAATTTTTTTTTGTGGCTTTGCAAGTGGCATTGAAACGAAAGACCACCCGTGACCGAAGCGGACAAATGGAAGGGCAAGGCCAATGCTGCCCAAAGTAATGGCAACGTCGTTTCATCCTCGTCTGAACTGATGAGCTCTGCTGGCCTTCGAGCTACAAGGCCAACTAGAGCCAGCCCTGTTTATGTTTTTGCTGCTAATGTATTGCTTACTTTCCCACGCGCACGTTTCTCGTCCCACCCAAATGAAGGGAAAAGCAGATGCAGTGGCTCATTGCGTTAATCACGGATTTCAATCGTCCCGTTCCGACTCGAGAGGATTCATTGCACACTATTTCTTCGGTTCATTTCCATCGCCGTTGATGGGCGGACTAGGCTTGAGATTGTGATTTGCAGTGGGCTTCCTTCGCTCGATGATGAATGTAATGGGATCCTAGTGATAAGACGAAGAGAGAATGAGAAAAAAAGAAAGGATATGTAATGTATGTATGTTCAATGCAATGCAACATTAGAAGCGCTTCTCATTAGGAAAGGCCGAGCACCCTCCGGCCATGCACGTGGAGCCATCATGATCATCTCCACTTTCTTCCCACTTCCCATTCCCATGGCGTCAGTCTGAGGTTTCGGCTTCAGATTTGACCATTTGATAGTACCCCTCATACAATGACGCCGCTTGAATGAAGAGCGAACTGTCGCGAAGTAACTGTACTCTAATCTGAAAGTATTTTAAGTACTCCTCAAGCTCCAATAAGACAAAACGACAAAGATTAGAAGTATAACATATGTGTATTCGGAGACGGGAAATCTTATCAGATCTTAATTCTCATAATTTCCCGGAGAATGCTCCGGGGCGGACATAATTTCTGGCAAGTGCTTGATGCATTTTCATAGGAATTGTCGGTGGGGAATCGGGGATGAGGTCGTAAGTAGCCTGCCAAAAGACCCGCACTTTTCTTTATACGTACAGGTTTGAACGATGGCTGCATAAACCTCGTAAGCGTCCTCTTTTCTTTTTTTTTTTTCTAGACGAGAGAAAGCTCCGTTGTAGAGAATATATGTGCTGACCCTATGAAGAAAATTGAAGCCCTCTGTGGTTAGATCTGAGATCTAAACGCTCCAACGTAAACGGGGATTTCGCTGAAAATTTCGAGACCTGCCAGGCTCATATCTGCAGTGATGCGAAGTACATTAACGAGGAAGGAAGAAGGCAGGCGTCTAAGTGAGATCATTTTCCCATTCGATGGGCCGCTCTTCCTCGAATGACCTGACCTCCACGTGCCGTTGTTGAAGTGGGGCGGTCAGTTCGAGTGACGTCATCGCATCGTGTCGGTGTGAGAAGTTGAGCGTTGCAAATTGTGGAGAGAGGAGGGAGAGAGAGAGAGATTAAAAAATTGGAGCAGAGCAGGGCTTCTCTTCCTCATGGCGGCCTTGAAGGTCTTTCGAGAAAGAGCCATGCTGTCATCTCAGCGCGTGGAAAAATGAGATGTCCGGCCGGTCTTCATGAAACTGGAGGACCGTGCTGTCATCTCTGTGCGTGGAAAGAATAAGATGTCAAGCTGGTACTCGTGGAACTGGATTAACGTGTTTAATAGTCCAGGATGTAATCTCGTGAACCCACATTTTCATTCCCAAGGAAAGTATCACGGAATTCGTGAATGTTTTAAAGGGATGAGAGTGGGATAGGCATGCAAGGGTGTTCCAATTAGACCAACATGTTTGAAACAATGGCTTTGGGTAGGCGTGCCACGCTATCATGGGGTGTAGGTAGAGAAAGAGAGAGGAAAAATTATTAATGGTAGATGCCAAGGTCGCTGGATATCCCAGGCAGGCCTATGGCTATGACTATGACTCTGACTACATGTATCTGAAAGAGTAGGCGGAAGGTAAAACATGCCCAAACCCTTTTTCCTAAGGCTATGTGATGAGTTCCTATCGCGTGACCCGGCTCTATTGAGGATTTTCTCACGTACAACCTTGAGTATGGTCTTCTGACAAGTTCACTGGCATCCAATATATCGATCTTAGGTCGAAGAGCGATAAAAATTACTGGTGTGTGTGGCTGATAGGGTATTGAGGATGAATAATAATATATAAGAGGACTCGATAGGGACTCGGATCCCGTCGTTCCACATGAGAAGAAACCAGTTTCCTTCCTTATGAACGTAGGACACGTGTCTACCAGGAAATAGCCATACGGATTGGAGTGCCCTCAGGCTACGATACCCTCTTTCTGCTCCTGCGCCCTTGTCCATATTGAAATTGCCGCTACTCCGTTGTGCTTTCCAGGTATTCGGACGACCTTGACAACTCGAATGCACATATGCCACGTGATGCGGTTTTGACCGAATTTCAGCCTTGTTTAAAAGGGCCTTGACGACACCAGGGAATAGTGCGATTGGTGAAAAGTGGGATCGTAGGGTGTGGTCCTCCTTTTCACGGCATATTATTCATGGAGTTAGCAGACGTGTATGGACGTTGTTAAAGGCGTTGATGGAAAACCGTGATAACGTGCTCATGCAAGATGAGGCGGAAAGGACTTTCCTGGCCCTCCTTCCTTCCTTCCTTCCGTGGAATTGCCTGCATCATGTCCATGCCTGAGGCCAAGATGCATTTGTATATGGTACATTGAGTTCGTGTTGTGTGTGGTACCTCGATGGGTTTTTTTCCTCTCCTTTTCTTCATTATGCGGTGCAGGAGTAATGGAGCGTAAAAATGGCGTCGTCCCCATGATCCCCAAGCTTCCGTTCTACGTGCATATGTAGATCCATGAGGGGTCCATTTTCGTGCTCATTTACGTCCTCTCGTTTTTGATGGATCGGATTCTTCTCGGTTCATTTTCGGCACTCCCGAGCGTCATCCCCAGGGTTCCTTCACCTTCCTCGAAGCGGGGAAGCCAGGATCTCGAACTCTGTAACGTTCCCCCCTCCCTTCCCCCTTCTTGCCCTCCATAGCAATGGCATAAAAATTCGTGGACATTAGTCATAGTTACCCAGTGGAAGCATTGGAGCGCATATGATGGGCCGTTGGTCGCCCGAGATTGGACAGTGACTATCATTCTCAGGAGATAACTCAATGAACGATATATCCCCGCATAGAGAAAAAAAAGGAGAACTGAAAGAAGGGAAGACTAGCCGATGCAGTGCAGTGCAGTGCAGTGTGTGTGGTTAATGGGCTGGATTTTGCGCAATCTTTCCTCCCCCGAAAAAGTATCCATCATCCCAAGAAAGAGAGAGAACCAGGTCCTTGTATAGGCCCGTCATACATAGACAGCAGGAAGAATGGGAGAGGGGCGGTCTCTGTCGCGTCAGGAGTCGGTTCGTACCCGGCCACACAGGGGGATGAAGGGGAGAGGTCGCATCTACCACTGCAGGAAATATGATGGTGAAATGTAGTAATGTAGCTAGGGGCGATGGGTTTATACGCAGGGAAGGAGGGGAATTTGTAAGGAGGGGCAGCCCAGGGCCCCTCCCGTCAGGAGTGAGGTCGTACTCTGCCACTCCGTCGGTCCCGCTTCACCTTTTTTGTCCCACTCGCGATCTGCAAAGGGAATCGTAGCGATTGCGCCACGCATGCGGAGTGGGAGCAACGAGACGAGGGAGAGGATCATCGCGTGATAACCTCCCATCTTTTGCCAAATGTGCGATGTTCATCTCGGGATTCCAGCTGGCTCTTAGTTTGCTTCCTCTCCGGGGTCCACTCTCCCTCTGTTTCCATCTCTTATCCGTTCTTCCCAAGCCGCCAAAATTTTCGTCCAACAGTGGGACCATATGCACGGCTACCAGGTGTGCCCGCAGCCGATGGCAAGTTTTCCTCTTTTTTCTGTTTTTCCACCCTTGTCGTACTTCCGATAGGAGGAAACCTGTTTTAATCCCGCCATTCCTTTGAATGCGTGCTGGTTGCAACTTTTGTTGTTCGACGATAGCGTAAAGATATCGTAGTTGTTTGACTGAACTGTGGTGTATGCACGTGCAAGAAACGAGCTAGGATTCTTTTTTTGTGAAGCCTCACGCGGGAAATAAGGCCGAATTAGGAGTGCGTTTGCTATGAGCAGGTGACTGACGGCTGTGAGAAGACCTCTTGGGTTTTCTAGAATACCTTCTTCATTTTTGTTTCTCTGTAATGTGCTGCGTTTTAAGCTACTGACCACGTCAGGGTGAAATTTACATTAAGGCTATGTTGACAGCTGAAGTCACTATGCTCCTGGTAGGATCTCGGTTACGAAGACTGAGAGGATGTTAACAAATTCGAAGACGTAAAAGATGTGTTTAAGTGCGGAAGTAGGTAGAAAGGGGGCAAGAGAAAAAGTTTCAAATTTTCCTTTCAGTTCTTGTGCAAGTTTTTCTTGCCCATCACTCTGCAGAAACGCTGTCGATTTATTCAATTTACTCTTATTTCGTGTCAGGGAGATCTGCATTATGGTATTACGGAGCTGTCTCAAAAATGTCTCTCCATGAACGATGCCATCGACCCCTATTCGATCATGCAAATCCAGCGGCAAGGGAAGCAGCAGCGCACCATGCTGACTGACCATATCAGCCAATCAGCGGCTTGTTTCCTGCGAGCGATCAGAAAGTCAATTACGTCCCCGAGACCTTGTGATTAGCGTGCTGCTCGCGTATGAGTCCTTGAGTCTCTCATAGACCCTGATTACACAAGCTCATAGCGCATACTGTCTATGATCCGAAAGGAGAAACATGCTATTTTAGAAACAATCAGGAGAGCAAGAATTTTCCCCCATGTTTCAGACTGAAGAGTGATAGATTAATAGTCGCCTTCACTCGAGGTGAAAGTCGCAGCCCCCCTGAAGCAAATGCAAATACGTCTTGATTATTCTTCTTCAGTCTGAGGACAAGATAATGTCTTACTTCCTTGAAAAACTAAAAAATTGCATATTCGCCTTTTGATTCGCTCATACATCGTCTATGTATGAGCAGCCGCATACGAGCAAGTTATAGCGTCCAATCGCACCTTGAGTTGCCACTTGCATCGTGGAATATCACATTTAGTTTCCCCGTCATACTGCGACTGTTCCATTCCAAAGTTTTATTTTCCCTCTTGACCCAGCGCCACGGTGACGGGCCGCGATCCACCCACCATAGTGGGATCAAAGTGGGTCATGGTGGTTCTCACTATGTTACGTCTTTTCCAACTCCTGTCCCCTCACTGTGACACTAGCATCAATACCCTGATATGTGTGTTCATGTATGTTCCCGAATTCTATTCGTAGGCTGTCCAGGCGCCGTTTGGTGCTTTAGCGTCCTTGCCCCCATTCGTTGCTTTGTCATTCTTGTAGACACTATACGGGCTATAACAGTACTATCTCATCACAGGCGAAGGTTGTATTCCAATGAGAGGAGAGGATGGGCGTTTGTCCAAGTTTAGAATCAGCTGATTTCGAGCCTCGCTTCCACTCGTATATGATATTTGCATTCGTCTTTTTGGTTCATTAATCTTTTAGATCCCCCCCCCCCCCCCCGCACATTTGGTGTTTCCAACTTCAGGATCACTTAATTCCTCCTTGACCTGTGCGCTGATGAATTTTAAACTTCGTCAGTGTAAGATGCGAATGACCTATATAGCCCCAGTACAATGAGCAAACGGAATTTGCCTTGTGGAAACGGATACAATCTTAATGAATTGCTGCTCCTTTCAGGCGCAAAGTTGATCAAATAAATTTATTTATGAAAAGTATGGATTTTTTCCTCCTTGTCTTACTGTCGTTTCTTCAAATTGGGATTTATGCCTACTTTCTATGCTGGAAATCGAGTTGGCTTTTATTCGTATACAAAGAGTTGAGCTAGTGCGGGAAAAAATCGTTCAGAACAGAAGCGTTTCCCCCCCTCCATCACTGCATCGAAGTAGTGTAATGAAATTAGTGCCCTGTACATGCATGCTATCTATCCTAGGGCATTTCCTCTACATTGCCCCTAGGGGAGGGATTCGAAGGTCCATTCCAGGTCCTTGATGAAAGCGGGCTACCTCTGAAAAGAGGAAGGTATACATGTCGAGAAGCCTTGATTGCCGTGAAGAGCTCAATTAATGACAAGGTCCGACATATCCGTGTCGAGGAGGGAAAGTGGCATAGGCCTATATGGAGGGGAGATAGAGAGATATACAGTCTCCATTGTCTCGGATGAGATGGGGGATCTATATCTGACTGATGACGATGCCGTATTGTGGACTAATGGATAAGATTGAAAAGTCTCTTCCCCTCCATGTTTCTTATATCGCAGGGGGGGTGACCAAGGGAGGGAGAGGGGAATAAATAAATGGCGACTCTATGCACCCCGAGGACTGATAGGATACACTCGATTATCCTTGGTTACGGGTGCCACTTTCAGGCGATGATGTTTTCTATTTTTTATCTTTTTTCTCTCTCTCTTTCTCTTCCCATAGGATGAATTCCATCCGTTTATCGAGGCTTTGCTGCCTCACGTCAAGGCCTTCTCGTACACTTGGTTCAACCTGCAGGCTGCGAAACGCAAGTATTACAAGAAGCACGAGAAGCGAATGTCCCTGGAAGAGGAGCGACGATGCAAAGAAGAGCTCATGGTAAGAAGAACCCCTCTTGCTGTCACAGTCGAAGCGGGTTTCATCAACCCTGGAAGGATCAACATGTGTTATTGGATTAGCCCATCAGAGACAATGATGTTGTGAAAAGGGGGGAGGATGTGAAAGGGGGTTCCCCGCCTGACATGGACGGAGGAGATCAAATCGGGACGCGGTTTAATCACGGAATGAGTAATCTCTCTTTTGAAAGGGGAGAAAGCCAAGCCAGACAGACAAGTCATTCCCTTCCCTTCCCTTCCCTCCGCGAATGTAAAAGGAGGGAAGTGGAGCCTGAATTTTGAGGGGGAGAACATCCATTTCAGCGGGGAGGGGAAGGGGGAGGGGGCATAGGAGGAGTAAATCTGTCTTCTGAGGATCTCCCCTCTGCGCGTTTCTTTTCCTCTCACCTGACAGCTGAGGGCCCATTTCCGGCATGGAAATAATTTTAATTTCCACCGAGGAAGGAACGGAGGCTCATCAAGTAGAGTCCGGGGAAGTGGAGCCTGCTCGCGGGTCCCCCCGCACGACCTATCAGCCCAGCTGAAGCTCTACTCCCAGGGGCCAAATCTTCTCTCTGCCTTTCTCTTTTTCCCCTCATGAAAACTGCCGATGATGCGCGGCTTCTGCCGAAATCTTCCTTCTTGAACTGTCAAATGTCTTCCTATTTCACAAACTACGACAATGAAATTAACGGAAAATTTTCTTGGTGTACTTTGAGCATGATTACCCCAAAGGAAGAAGCAAGTTTCCCGGTTCAATTTTGGGATCTAAACTGTTATGAAAGCTTCCAATATCGGTCCTTTTGTTATTGTGGACGTTTTCATACTCAAAACCTCTGCAGGACACAAGTTGCGAAAAAAGGAAGTCCAGAAAAGAATGGCAGAGGGGGGAAAAAGAGGGGGAATGCTCCATTGTTTTTGCATTATTTCACTCGGTTGGTTGCCGTGATGGATGGCCCTGTGTAATGCTCCTTTCCTGGTTAGCGGAGATTATCTCTGTCGGAGAGAGAGAGAGGGAAAAATCCCTGAGCAAGGGCGGAACTACACAAGCCTACACCCCTTTCAGTCAACCTGTGTGTGTCTACTCTCTCTTTTTCTCTCCCAGAGATTAGAATATAGGCGCATTTATACATACATATTTATATGTGAGGTCCCGCCCCTTATATCTCATGTGTTTTCTTATATATGACCCCCTTCCTGCTACGCCGCGGCGGGGGTCGCGAGCAATTAAAACGGATGACCTCTTCCTTTTTTTTTCGCCCTCCCCTCCCTATCTCAGCCTCTCCCTTACGGAGATGTCTTCTTCAGAAGTAGACGGAAGATGGAGAATGATAGGCTTGATGTATGCAGTCGATTTCTCTACTTTGGTGCCGGGGAAGAAGCGAATAATCCTAAGATCGAGATCGGGCTCTGTGAAAGGTCGATTAGGGAAGCCCCTGTTCAGCAGGGAGAAAAGGGAGAGAAGAGATATCGAAAAGCTCAACAGCAGAAGAGGAAGGAAAGGGAGTAATCTTGGGGAAGGAAGGAAGGAAATGTTGCTCGCATCTCTATCTTTCTTGCTTCACTCACTGCATATCGCCGACGAAGATCTTACAGGATCTATGGACTTCCGAGGTGATTGCTGGATATAGAAATTAGGCACATGGCAGAGAAGGAGAAAGAGAAAAGAGAGGGCAAATATACGCTGGGGATGCAGCTGTTTCCCTCTCTTTATTCCCTCCCTTCCTGCTTCTTGAAGAAGGCATCTGCTAGGAACTAACATGCTATAATATGAGCCTACTAATTAATGTCGGTCGCTTCTTGGGCTTGCGTAAGGATTCCTTCTGAAGACCGGAGATCATCTAGAGACCTGGAAGATTAAAAATAAGAGAGTGGAAGATGAAAGGGGTTTTTACTACCACCCCATTTGTGGGGGGTTGATGGAGCTGTCATTCCTCCTGGTGAAAGTGAGAAGGCGACTAGGAAGCGTTGAAAGGGTTACTTCTGCTTCTAGAAATGAAAACTCCTACAGACTATATGTGGGAGGTGGAATAACGATATGAGGGATGGACAAGGCATTCTTGATGGAGGTTGACCTCCGAATCATGAAATTCTCCTAGGGTGGTACACAATATATAAAGGAGGGGAAAGTGCTCTGCCCTCCTGAAATGGAGCGTATCCAGGAATCCCCCTTCCTTTTTTCCTTTTTTTTGTATAAACGTATAATCATTGTGGAGGTGCGGAAAAGGGCAGAGCAATTTCCACAGGGAATGGGGCATGGAGACACGAGAAGGGTTTTAGCCCGATGGCTTCATAAAAGTGTAGCTTCCAAGACGGACATTGTCCATAAGGAAAGAAAGGGGTGGGGTACAGTATCCGTTGTAGTATTCTTCAGCAGGGGGGAATTTCTTCTTCCTCCCCCCACTTTTCACGCTTCGATGCCCCAGCCCATCCCTATATATATCGTATATCCCCTTACCATTGCCTATATCCCCCCACGCTTCCGATTCATATGGCAGATATCGTGCTTGGGGGGGGACCCCCCGTCGAGGGAAAATTTCCCTTGGTTCTGTCTGGGGCATCATCATGATCCCGAATTCTTTTTCATGGAATCAATGAAAATGTGCAGAGTGAGAAGCCGGAAGTGAAGCAGAAATGGGCATCGCGGCTGTTGGGGAAGCTTCGGAAGGACATCACGCAGGAATGCCGGGAGGATTTCGTGCTGAGCATCACTGGGAAGAAGCCTGCCATCTGTGTCCTCTCCAACCCCGATCAGAAGGGAAAGATGAGAAGAATCGACTGCCTCCGACAAGCTGACAAGGTCTGTTAATGATTTCCCGTCTTCTTTTGCTCAGTAAGTCATCGACGGTTTCGTCAAGGAAATCTTGAAAGAATTTCTTTGTATTTTTGTAAATACAAATTTGTAATATATTAAATTATTATATAACCTTCATATAAAGTCTTCGCACATTCCCAGCACACGTACTATATGGGTTGGATATTTCTCATCAAATATCTCCTTTCAAAAAAATAAACTAATCACTTCCACAAGCTTCTTGAATGAGAATAGCCCTTTCATTTTCTGTTAATTTCTCGAAATTCCGAGCTGTGATCACGGCGAATTCTATGCAATTGGAAAGCCCTGTTCGCCTCCTTTGATTCAGTATACAGTACACGACAACTCCTGCGAAAGTTTTGATCAAGGGAAGATGTGAGGGTCTGTCCCACTCGACACCTTTCCACTGCCGTTTGTTTTATTTTGAAACGGTGTATTTAAAGTTTGTCTCTTATCTTCTGTCAGATTGAATGACGTGATTGGATGATTGGCTGATAGATTTTTGCTTTTCACAGTGAAATCTTTAAACCTAGTAGAGCAGAAAAGCCCCAAAGTTGATCCCATGTACGCCAGACAGCTGAAGTCGATAGGAACGATCGTCATGCTGCAGCATCTCCCAAAAACGCGACATTTTTCTCCTCGGTCGAAATTAATGCCCTGGATAATAAACGATGTGTGGTTTTTATGCGATGGTAGAAGGCTAAGAGCTTTCCGAATGAGAGGGAAGAGAGGAGAGGATTCGCCATAAGTCATATCGGATCTATGGAGAGATGGGGGTCAATCAATGGACGAGAGAATGTTTGTCCCCCACGTAATGGATACGTCTTCTTTCTGTCCTCTTTCCCCCTTCCTTCTCTTTCGTTAAAAAAAAGTTAAGAAAGGGGGATGGAGATGAGAGATGATTTCGATCCCGTTAGGAGTCTGAGACCGCTCAATCACCGACCTACACGTCTGTGTGAGCCCACGTGCAAGAGAGGTTCGGGTCACATCCAACACGAGTTGGTCTTTTTTTGCACAATCGAGAGAAAGGCGTCGAGGGAATGACCGAAAGTTCTTCCGTCATGTCGGAAAGATTTTTTAAGATGCAAATGGAGAAAGAGGGAGAGAGGGCACGACCTTCCGCGAAATGACCGTCTGTGGGGAAGCATGTAACAAGGTTTATCTCCGTACTGACCCACAAAAATTATCTTCCGGGAAAGAAAAAAAAATTCGGTAAATTGTCTGACGTGACATGCCAAAGATGCCTATGTGTTTGTATGTCTACATGCATGGGGGTGCATATGGGGAAGATGACGAGGCACATATGTTCGACCCCTGGTGTGGCGTAAGGAGTAAAATAAAAAGTTTGACTTGAAAAAGAAGAGAAGGGAAATTGTGTGTGTGTGTGTCTGTCTATGTCTGTCTGTCTGTCCGTGTGTGTCTGTGTGCGTGTATGTCTATGTGCATGTATGTGTGCGTGCGTGCGTGCATCCATGCGTGCGCGCTTGCGTGTGCGTATGTATGTACGTATTTGTGTGTGCGAGATAAGGGTTTATTATCGGATTCAGCGTGGGATATTGCAAAGTCATCTTGTGCACCCCCACGGCGCATAACTCCATGTCCATCCTTTTTCTTGAACCTCTCTCTCTGGTTTCGTTGACTTTTAATTTGGTACGCAAATGAGCGTTGGAAGTCTTTGGACCGTATCGGACTCGGACCCCCCGTGACAGTGACCTCCACCATCAATATCCTCCGTTTGCCGGGTCTGCTTCCTCGCTGCCCCGTGTGCTCAAATAAAGGGCCGAATAAATAAATACAAATAATACAAATAAATGATTAAATGATGGATAAATAAACTCAGTCTGGCTAAAATATGTGACATTCGCTTCCGCTTGGTAAAATATTGTTTTTCGCCTCAAAGTTCTCATTTAAGGTGCTGGAATAGCTTGAGGCTGGACTTAAGTACTTCTTTCAGTCTGCAAGTCTGCGAGAACTTCAAAAGAAAAGTCCGGAATAATGGCTTGCGTTTTCTCAATTCATCTAAATTAAACTGTGGTAGGCCTACGAACCGCGTTGGGACAAATGGACAAATTTTGATATTTTAAATGTAAGTTTCCTTCCCCACCAACTAACAATCCTTCTCTGTATTTTGTCCATGGTTTCCGCGTGTCTTAGGAGAAACCAGCGATATTGCTAGGAGACAGAACGAAGTTAGTTTTTTCTTTGCCTGCTAAAATCTTATCTAACCTCGACATTACCGACAGAGAGAGAGCGTTCAACTCGGACCATCACGCTCTTAGTCATGCTCACATGCTGCAAGGGATCTCCGCGATTTTAGCATCTCACTGCAGCAAAAATGGGTGGATGATGGATGATGGACTCCATGTGAGAGGACAACTTGCCCCCTGTGTAGGTGTGGAGGTTGGACCTGGTGATGGTGATCCTGTTCAAGGCGATCCCGCTGGAGAGCACGGACGGGGAGAGACTGGAGAAGTCGCCGAGCTGTGTCCATCCGGGCCTCTGCGTCAACCCCTATCACATCAACGTCTCCGTCAGAGAACTCGATCTCTACCTCGCCAACTACGTCAACATGCACGGTCAGTTGCCCCTCTTCTCTGCGTCCGTGGCCGATCTGCATATTATATGCAAGGCAGATCGAAGCCGAGTATCTTCGAGTTGATTATCCGCGAAAAAGAGAAGCAAAAGGCCATTTGCTTTACTTGAAGATGCTCGTGTTTGTCAGTGCGCCATATGTAAACCTCAGGTTCGAAATCAGCCGAAGTTCAACGAGGCTCATAGTTCAAGGGGGCATGAGATCATTGTTTGTCTGGGTACTTTCGAGTATGAGCATGAAATAATTGGATTATCTGGACTTGGACGTCGAATAAACGGGACTGAGAGGTAAAACAGACGAGAGAAACGAGGAGGAAGAAAGGGGTGAGGGGCTTCAGGTTCAGAGTTAGGCAGTGAAAATGTGTGTGTGTGTGTGAAGTGATTGCGTGGCACACGCGTCCCACGCTGGAATGCAAAGGTAGAGAACGGAGAGGGAGAGATTGATGGTGTATTCCTCCCTTCTTTCTCATCCCTCGCGCTCTCTCTTTCTCTCCTTTCGTCCCTCCTTTTATGCGTCTCATTCTGTGTGATTACGCGCCCGCGTGTAATCACAGTTCCCGGGGTTCACCGCCTTCCATTATTAATATTCGGTATCCCTTTTTTTCTCCCCTAACTTCTATTTTTACCTTTCTGTCCGGGAAAGGGAGATAACATTTGGATGAATCGGGGTGAAGGTTTCCCTCGGTTAACGAATGCTCGCTCGCGTGGCTTTTCCCTTCCCCTGATAAACATCATTAGCGAAATCTGCGGAGACGGAGGAGGGGGGGAGGGAAGAGGGAAGAGGAAAAAGAAAAGAAAAAAAATCCTCCCTCCAGCCGATCTCATAGGAAGGGAGTGGAGGAAAGCTGAGAAATCATTTATAACGGGCATTGCCGATGATTCCCTTCTCCCCACCCTCGTTGCCATTAGAAGGCGAAAAAGATAGACTCTCTTATCGCTTATCGGCCGCAGAGAAACCGACCGAAGGATTTTCTTGCGCTTTTTCACTTTTTTCCCTCCTCGTTAAAGAAAAGTTCATGTTTCTTCCCCCCACCCCGTTCCCTTGGCCTCACTGTGTGACTTGTGCTTCGCATGTCGTACAGACGATCGGGAGCGCGTTCCCCGCCTCTGCTAAATCCAAGTCTGAAGCTCGCTTACGTTTGATTGAGGGCGCCGAGTGCGTTTCTTGTCCGTGATGAATCTAAGGTAGACCGCACTCTCGGCGCCAACTTGTCGAGACCTTGAAAGCAGCAATTTTTCTGCGTGAAGTGGCGAGCATTATTGCATACAATGCGGCCATTAGACCTAGGGGATGGAGTTTAACCTCTGAGCAACATTGCCGGCAATATTGCTCTGTACATAACGGTCTGCAAGTCTTGTCGTCATGCTCTGGACAACAGACGTTTCTGTGAATCCGACTCGGTGGCATGGCAATAACCATGCCCCTCTGAACTCGTGACTCGGTCCGATCGGCTGCAAGGCGGCGATTGCTCGCTCGCTGCCAATCTCAGGCTTGAAGAGGCACTTGCTCTTTCAATTATTGCTCTTTCAGTTACGGTTTCCAGATCGTGCTTTCAAGTACTGTCGGTGGCGCATTATTGCCGAGTGTGAAGTGGCCTAAAATCGCTCAGAATGGATGTTAAATTCGGATCACCCGAATAATATCTCAGTATTTTATAGCTATTCAAATCCATATTCCAACAAATGTGTGATTAACTGTACACTCAGTATTCTAATCAATGTTCATATTCTTCTATTATAGTCATTGCCGCTATTCAGCTTTTTTTTATAGTTTGCTTTACATTTCGTTTAGATGTTCGATCACAGTCGCAGTCAACCAGTGAATGTAGAAGAACCGAAACGTGCTTCGATATAATGCATTTCGTGGGTCGCGATTTTTTTAAATTCTGCAGTGACAGCTTCAGTGTGACCTCTGCATATTGAAAAGGAAATGACACGTCTTGGAATGCTGATGTTTTGGAACCGGTATATTATCATTTACGAGGGAAGATTTGCATCCATCGGTAATCGAAGTTCTATTTTGAAATATTCAAGTATTCGAGTTACGTCAACGAGCGAAACTCGGATCCGTATATATATTCGATTGGGAGAGAAAGGATTTCGGTTTTCGGAAACTCTGGATTCGATGAATCGAAGAATCCCTTCGAATTCGATGAAGACTCGAGTCTTGTGATCGGAGCAGAGCCCTTTTGATAGTATTGAAATTTGTGAAAGCTTTGAGGAAATATTTTGCATTCAGGTGTGCAGCCCTCACATGGATGGTGAGCGTATAAGAAGTAATTTCTCAGCAAGTATTTTTTTTATTTCTCCAAAAAACTTGATGATCCAAATGACATTTTACCATCGGTAGAAAGAGTGCTAAATTTGAGAACAGTCGTGAATCCTGAGGCAGTTTTCGAGAGTTTTGAATATTGGAGAAGGGAAATGCGTTCTCGCTCGCGAAGACCTCGGCCGCCGCAGTTTAAAGGGATGGGGAAACCTCGCTAAATGAATCAAGATAATAGCAAGGTCAGAGACCCTTTTAGCCTCCGGACAGTGATTCAACAAAGCATATCGCAGCCCTTTGGCAGGTGAGCTTCTCTCGGATTCCCAGACGGCAAGGCTGCGATCTCTCGTTGGCTGACCGTGCAACTGCCGCGATCCCTCGTTGGCTGTATGTGCAACTGACGCGCGATAACACGAGGAGTCGCTTGGGTTTTGCTCCCAGTTTCTTCAGCTGCTCGAGTCGGCCGTGGGATGTGTGAAAAACGTTCTCGCTAGAATTGGGAATTTCTGCAGAGTAATCTGTCTCGGTTTGATGTTGTTCTTTCGAGCTCGTGCGCGTAGGGTTGCACAGATGCCGGTCATCGGTCGATGGCCGGTTATGATCTCACAGACGTCGGCTGATGTTGATTGTGGCTGATGGAATTGGGGGGAGGGGGGGGGGGACCAACAAATTCTTATTCAGCAGCTCTCGTTCACCACTGTTATGAACTTTTTTTTAACGCTAGCCAGCTTATGATATTTATGACGCTGAATCCCGTATCTTTTTGCGGGAGACGGAAGCACTATTGAGATTAAAAAGGGGGGAGGGAGAGAATGCCCTGTGCAATCATTTGACACAGTGACTGCGGCAGAGAATGGCTAAATCTTGCGTTTTGGAAAATATAGATTTTTTGCCGAAGAGACACAAGAATTTTTTTTTTCAAGTGCAATTCCTACGCTGTACACCTACGCATTCTTCGAAAAGAGAGAGGAACTCCTGCGCTGATGCCAGCATTCGAGTCCTCTCTGGTGTCATCTGCAGGGAGAGATTTCTGCGTCGGCTTATGCGTCGGTTTCGGCTAATATCCTGTGTATATTAGCCAGAACCTCTTCCAGGCCGCAAAGCGCTGCAGAACTTCGCCGCTTGGAAGAGACCGCAACCGGTATAAGCCTGCGTTTTCTTTGAACGGACGAGATGTCCGGTGGCCTGCCCGATGCCATCTTTCGACTCAAGTCGTAGTTTCGGAGATATATTTAATCATGCCATATGGTATTTCCATTTTTTTTGTGCGGAGGGGGGGCCGGAAGCACCTGCTCCTTTTCTTGGAAGAAAGATGACGAGCCCGGCACGGAGTCATATTTGCACATGCACGCGTTCTTCTTTTTTTTGTGGGAGGGAGGAAGGGAAGGGGGGGGGGGGGCTTGCCGTCGGCGTCCGATTCCGGTGGTTGCCGATGCATCGGTACAGTCCGAGAACAGACCTAGGTTCTATGAGACAAAAGCCTCGACGCTCATGAATCCTCAGTTCGTTTTTCCTTCAGTCACCTCAAATCCGTATGCGTTTGCCGATGTGTTTTGGATTTTCAGATTAGATTCCTTTTCGATATTAATTTAAATTATCTTTAAACCTCCTTGCGGCGTCCCGAGCCGGTGTCGTCGCTTCTTTTGCTTTGATTGTTCGTTGTTCTGCGATGACGACGAAATGCGCATTGGAGGGAAGTTGAATAAAGACATTCCTTTGGCGATACACGCCATTTGTCGTCATAGCGGCTCGGAACGGAGGGAACTGGTCCTTGGCAACCCGACGGTGGAGTTCGTAGACAATTACGGAGCGCATGTAAAGTGGGGGAAAGTGAATCCGAAGCCACTGTCGAGATTGCAGGTCGCTTTGAACCACGTGGAGGATGAGAGACGGGAAGAGAAAGTCCTCCGTCGGATGGCTCTAATCCTGCGAGAACGTTCCAACGTTTCCGGGTGGAGCGCGTCGCTCGTGTTAAAAAAAATAAGGTCAAAATGGCTTGCAATGAATTCTGATCTTTCTGTCATTGCGTCGAAATGGGGGAAGTTGGCGATGTGGGTGCTGGGGAAGTACGGGGACGGTGGACGTCTGATTGAGATTGCCGTTTGGCGTGAGTGATCCCGCATGGATTTCTGCGATTGTGAACATGGTATTCATGGATATACTGTGACCCGGCGATTGTTCGCGCGCGGTGAGCTTACGTGGCTCTTGCCAGGAGCAGAACTCAGACATTTCCCCGCGAGATTTTTATTTCGATTTTTAGCAGTTTCTTATTTCCGGAGAATAAAAAAAAAAATAAATTACTTGCATTAGAAAAAAAAAAACAACAGCAACTTTGAGGAATCCTGCCGCAATCAGGCGGTGCCCGTTGGGATGGCGGTTTCATAATTCTCTTACGACGCGAAAATTTAAATCCCCGGGTGGGACTGCCAGGCAGAAACACACATTGCATCCGGATCGTTGGAGACGCCTGCTACCCCCTAGTTTGCATAGGAGTCAATCTGGTGATTGGATTCCGTGTAGGGCGTAGCACATGCTTCAGGCCCAAGTCGGATTTCCTTTCGTTTCGTGATGGTGCTTTTCGAAAAGTGATAACCTGGAGCAACGGATAAGCTCTGCTTCACTGACATATAGCCGTCATGACGTCAGCATGTAATTTTGATTAGAACCAGTTTCGGAAGGAATTCGTTGCGGATTCCGCAAGGCCGTGAAAGCGGAACAGATTCCAAATGGAATTCGTTAGTTTCACGGTCTATCCTCGCAGAGAATCCTCGTAATGACGTCGGGTGCCGCCTGTCCGTCGGCGGGGCCTGAAATTCGATGAGGAAAAGGAGGTCGCCTGAATTTCCGAGAATGAAAGATTTTTCAGAGCAGAGACAGAGAGAGAGGGAGAGAGAGGAAGTAGAAGGAAGAAGGATAAGAAGAAATCTCTCTTTTCAACAGGCGTACGGCTCATTACTCCGCGTTTCGAGTCGAGAGCCAAGTTCCTCTTTTCTTCCACAACTCCCTCCACACTCCGCACTCGACCCTATATTCCGTCCGCACACGCCCCTGGTGAGAGAAGCAGAGCCAAGGAGCGAACAATGTAACGTGTGGAGGGAGCCGAGCATGCACAGAATTCCTAATGAGTTACGTGTAGCCTGCGGGAAGGTCGGACCGTAAGACATCCTCGTCCCGCGGGTCTCTCTGCTTCCGTGGCGGCTGCTCGCGACCCCTCCGGCAGTGGTTCCCCTCATCCTTCCAACGGTGATGGAAGCAGACGAGGGTTGCAAATCAAACGAGACAGCAGACGCGATTGAATTGTGGGCCAACTTTAACCGAAGAGGGGGATTCATTGTATCATCGCTTTGAACAAATTACCTTCGAAATATTAAATTAGGACTACCATGATTCTTTTCTCGATCTCGTTTTTTTTTAAAGCACGAATCAAGAAAATCGTTAAAGTGGTTGCGTCGAAGTGAAGGTTGCGGGCGAAGGGCCAGAGTAGGGAACAGGAGGCGTCCATTCAACCGTTCATCCTATCCTCCGCCGCCGCGGAATGCTCGCTAATTCCTGATTGAAAACTTTATTTTTTAATTCCTGATCGTAAACTTCTACTATTCATGTGGACTTCCCCAAAAATGAGCTCAGCCTCTATCTTGCCCGTGTGTTTCCACAGACTACTTTTCATAGCGATCAAGGGCTTTTCTAGCATATCGCCGGATAACGAGAAACAGACACAGCTAAAAGGCATACCGAGCGGGACGTTACCAATTACCTGTTCCTTTTTCGTCTTCTTGAGTAAGCCCACTGAGCACCTCTGTTCAGAACCACATCCCTACCATGTCCTTGATATAATATTACAGAAACGGCTTAAACTGAAATTTCCACGGTCCCTTTGATGGTTCCCGTTTCTTCTTGTGTCCTCTTTCGCGCTATTGCCTTAACTTTTGAGGTTACGCTCTTGAAGCCATTTTTATCCAATTCATGCGCGGCCTGTCATGATGTGTACAGGAATTGAGCCATTTCAAAGGAGACTGGAAATTTGAAAAGGGATGAATAGAAAAGAGATTCAGTAAGCCAGCAAGAACTAGGAAGCAAGACAAGCACTAAGGGACACGGTTCTAATGAGTTCCCCCACAGGAAGAGCTATTTAGGACTCGGTTTTCACATCCCCTCCCCCTCGGTTTTGTTTCTCCAATCTCCGTGTATGCATGCACTAGTGAATACACTACAGGGTCCCTTCCGGGGGTATGTTGTCTTATTCTTGCTTCCAAGCCTCGGGCCTAAATTTAGACCGCCTCTTCATCGTAGGGAGGGGAAACTTTGAGACAGATTAAAAGCGACAAGAGGTCAGGAAACTCTCTTCATTCCTTCCGCATTCTCTTTCTCGAGAAGAGATGGCGATGAGAGGAGAACGCTGGTGTGGGAGGAGATACTTCTATCATGCTTATCGTGGCCCATGAAATAATGGCTGTTTGGCGGCCGGATCTGGGAAAAGGGTGCATGAATGGTGTTTTTGTTGGCAGCGTTTCCTCCCATTCGATTCGAATTGGAGACGAAGAGAGAGAGAGAGAGAGGGAGCGCTTTTGCATGCATTATGGCTCGTTACATGATTATTCTCGTCCTGCCTCAGTGGAACTCATGAGACACACTGGTCGTTTCTCTCTCAGATGTATGTATGTCAAAAGGAAACGAGAAAGAAAAGGCCGGTATGCATGCATGTATGGAAAGGGGAGGAATTGATGGATGGGTATTTCTGCCCTGCAGGGATCCAGTTAATGCATTGATAATGACACAGTTGACCCCCCTGTTGCGACCTCATGACCCTACCCGAGGATTCCGCGACACCTTCCTTCCCCCTAGAGTTAAGTTATATGAAGACGTTGTTTTCTTCCACCCTCCCCGATCTTTATAATGGATGGGTCTGGGAGGTTGAGACGTCAGGAAGGCACCTTTTTTCATGGTAATCTTTTTTTCTTCTTCATCCTCCGAATATGAGGGGCCGACATCGGCATGCGACAAGGATAAAGACCGTCTTCACCACATTCCTTCCTCCCTTCGCCCATCATTCAGGTTCATCTTGAGTTTGATGCGAGTTTCTTCTTCCCGATTTTTATTTCCAGAAACCCTCAGCGGTCTCCCCTGCAACAAGAGTATTTGTGATGACAAGGACGACGACAGGTCCATTAAAGGTGAGTGTCCTCACCTCTTCGTTTCTCTAAATCAAATGCGGTGAATGAACGAAGGAAAGGGGAGGAAAGAACGGGGCGATGATGTGGCGTGGTTTATGGCCATGGACACGGCCATAACCCGTGTCGATCCAAAGAGAAGGGGATATCGGTGCAATTGGCACTCGACAGAAGGGGGAGGGAAGAGAAGGAAGAGTCTCTCGGAGGAAACAAAGCCTCATGGGCTTTATCTATCCCTGTCTTTATTGGCACTCGAAAGGGACTTGACCAGGTTCAATGGGCTGGACTCGTCTCGACCGGTTTTCCCCTTTTCGCCTAATGGAGCATAAGTGACATAAAACGACGTCATCGCGTTGTTGCAATTCCTAGGGGCTTCCTTCTAACCCTGGTTTTGTGGGATACGATGAAGGTAGAGGGTATACGGAGGGAAGATGAGGAGGAGGAGATGAATGAAGTGAAAGAGGGAGGATGAAGGAGAGAGAGAGAATGAGAGGGAGCGAGAAGAGAAGACTTGCATGGAAAGGGCGGACTGGTCCGTTTGACAGACCAAGATGGATGCCTTCAGTAATTGGTGGGATCTTCATAGGATATATATAAAAGACGAAGGAGAAGACAGAGAGTCATTCTTTCTTCCCCCCCTCCAGTCTGTCCTTTTGTCTTCTCGGTCTCACTTTTGAATGCGGCGCTCTGATGGCCTGCAAAGGTATTCAGGCTCGAACATGAGACTAGGTATGAGGGCTTTGCGTGTCGCACTTGAAGTCCTTGGCTCTGCAGGAACAATATCGCAATTTAGATAACTAATTGCACCATACCAAATCCGGTTTTTCTCTAAGCCTGCCTGTTCTAATAAGATAGTCATCGTCTCCTAATTACTAATATCTTCATTTTCAAGGACTGTTTTAAGGGGGGGGGGGGGCGGGAAACAAGTCCTTTGGACAGTCATGGATGGAGATTGTTCGCTTATTCAATCCCAGATCTATGAGGACTGTTCTTCATCAAAATTTATCTCTGGATTCTCCTCTCCCTTTCTTCCTCTCTTTCTTCTTCCTTTCTTTTTTCTCCATGTTGCCCTTGATGGATGGTTTTTGGAGGGAATCATTTCTGATCATTACTCCCGATCAAGGGGGGAAAGGGGGGGTAAATGCTTGCAAGGCAAAAGGGGTAACCGAGGACACCCGAACAATCAAGGGAAGAAGATCGTAAAACTTAAATTAAGGAGAGAGAGCGCGCACGTTGGACAAATTAGCTCTCCCCCTTGATCTTTTCTCTCTACTCTCATCCCGTATAATGAATCGGATCCCTTCCATTGAGCATGTTCTCCCTATTATCCCGACCATATAGAGGAGCTCCTTTTTTTTTTCCCTTCCGTCCCTCGTGACCGAAACGTGACTCCGTCAGTGTTCATGGATCTCCCGGCGGACTCCGGTCTCCATATAGGATCGCAGAGTTCTTCGTTCATGGAGGCTCGGATTTTTTGGTCAGGCGAAAAGACGGAGAGACTTCCTCTGGTTGCAAAAACGCGTCTCGGGACACATCCGGCCTGAAAGTTGATCTCAGGAAAAACAACTCTGCGTCTATTTCCGACAGTGTTGTGGTCTCTTTGTGAGCCGAAACATCCCTGTCATGTCGGATTCTGCCTGGCGTAGCTAATGACGAAAGGTGCAGGGTTTCCAGCATATCCCTCGACAACTTTCTTTTGTAATATATTTTCTACTATTAAATGCGAGTCTATTCTTCATCCTGTTCCGGAATCGATGGTTGGTATGAACCTCATTTTAAATTGGCAGGATCAACCTTGACTTTGAAAGACTTCCTTTTTTTTTTGTCTTCCGTGCCAAAATCCTGCGTCTCCCCTCATCCCTCTTCTTTCCCTCTTTTCTCTCTCATGCGTGTACACACTCTCACATACTTTGGTGTTAGATGTGGGTCTCGTGTGAAATCATCGGAACATGCATTCCTCCTTTGATCTCTCTCTCTCTCTCCGTCATGCACTTGCGTTCATGATTTAACTGGGCAGGCATCAGCTTCGATACTACGCAGAAAATCTCTCTTGGAACTCCCACCTCATCGGTTCTCAGACTTCGCGTGTGATTTAATGCATTTTTGCTCATTGGTTCTTAAATATATTCTCTAATTTTTTGTTTGTTGAATGTCCCAAACAAATATCACTAGTATGTTTGTAGTTTTTTTTTTTAGCTAGGAAAGGAAAAATAGGTTTCCCTTTAACTTTAATCTATTTTTGATGCTTTCAAATTTTGATGGTATATTGGAATTAATCGCAAAAACAGTATTTCTTAGTGCAGCGGGTCTTCTCGTGGATCTCAATATGATAACAAGCTATAGGTCACTCTCGGCGTGATCCTGGTAATGGTATGCTGGTTGATTAGCTGGCTAAGTGGTTCATTGGCTGGTTGGTTGGCTTAATAGTTGTTTGGTTGACTGGTTGGTCGATTACTCGGTTGCTTGCTAGCTCTATGCCCTGTCAGGGACAGCTGGACCAACTCAAATAGGGTTTTCACATTTGCTGAAATTTATTGCAACAGATGTCGAAGTTCCATGAAAATTGAAAAACTGTCACTAAGAAAACTCGAACTTATGCGGGAAATTCTCTGCATATCTCTTCATAGCAAGCAAAAAATGTTCCCGCTACAAAGTAATTGAAATATTTTACGATTTTAGCTGCTTTTGGGGGGAGGATTTTAGCTACTTTTTTTGGACATCCAGTTCCATCAGGTCTTAAACCAATACGTCCGATTCTCACCTCATCCTTTTATGGAATGGGGGCTCTAGGAAATGAGGCAGTCGACCTGATATCCACGGGAATGTTTTAGCAACCCCTTATAAATTGGGTCTCGATGCCGGTTCGGTGGCGTGTGGGGCATCGACTTGCTGCATGTGTCGTGCATAGTCTGAAGCATTCTGTCATGCCAAGCCGTGTCACTTCCTCGTTTCATTGTGAACCGTAAATATGGGGACCGGGGAGTAAAAAAGAAGGCAGGAATTCTTGCGCATGTGATAGGGAGAAGGCGTCAGTCATCGAGAGGAATGCATGGCATGCACCGTGAGGGGTGTGGCGAATACGCGACTAACGGGAAAAAGGGAAGGAAAAAAAATGCTAGCTCATATGGTCAAGAAGAAGGCCCCCATGACGACCTATCTATCCGGTGATGGAAAACCAGGAGAAGAAAAGATATTATTCTAATATCCCATGCCATTATTCTAATCGGGACTCATCATCATTAATAAAAAAGGAAGAGGGAGTCCGTTTGGGTCCGGCCCAAGGGGGGAGGACGGGGACAAATCTCGTTTTTTTTCTTCCTTTTCCTTCTCAAATCTCTCTCTTCTCGTTTCTTCATTTGTTTCTCTGTGATTATGATAGATCCGATGTCCGTCGGAGGCCCAAAAAGTCCTAGGCGATCGTGTGCCAAGCGCTCACCTCATTGCCTTCGACTTCCGTTTCCTCCCCCTTTCCTGATGGTTTTCTGATGGTCCACTCTCCCCTCATTTTTTATTTCATTCCTCCTATCTTTGTGTGTGTGTCTCCGTCGGTCATTCCATGATTGTTTCCCGACTTCCTGCTGGGCACCCTGGCGATCATCCTTGCGCTCTTTCCTCCCATCCCTTCGTTTTCGGGACGACGTGGAAAATCCTCATCTGATTTTAATGTCTTTTTTTTTTTAAGCATCGTCTAGCGCGTAGAGGTTGGACAGAGGGCGTTCCGGAAGTATCGATGGTGTGTTGATGAATGTCCGAAGACAAAGTGTTTTCCTCGCATGGGGATGACTCGGGGCGATGAAAAATGACACGAGATATCGGGGACAAGGAGTGAAAAAGACGATGAAACCGAGCCAAATCTCTCTCTCTCTCTCTCTTTTTCTATTTCTCGGACACTCTGGAATGAATAAACAGGACGGGAAGCGAGGAGTTGACCGTATAATGAGCAGTCAGTGTCAGGCCCGGCCTCGTGATGGGAAGAAGGATTATAAATTAACTCGAAAGCGGAGCTGGAATCATTAGCCCGATCACCTCCGGGTGGACTTTCATGAATCACGTGTGATCGTGTGCTTGTTACATGTCTGGAATATGCGATACCCCCCTCACCCCTTCCTCTCCATCCGGAAACGGGCACTATTTCCGTCGACTAATGATCTTCCCGCCTTCGAGAGAGATGAGTCTGTCTCTTGTTTTTCTCCTTTTTTTCCCTCCCCTATCACTTATCGTATTGACGGATGAGGCAGGGAAAAGAAGGAGACCGATAATTTCTATCTCGGAGGGGAAGATTCCTTTTCAGGGCCCATGATTATGCATCGGGGTCGATCTGCATGAGAATCAATAAGCGATTGTTGTTGGAGTCACGTCTCTCTTTCCGACAGGTACTTTATGATGCCTGCGGGCTTTTCTCGCATGCCTCTCTTTTGTTCACCTTTTAATGCCCCCATGAGTCATGGTGAGAAAAAAAAGGCATCGATGATGGGCGATAACTCGCATATCAAAAGAAGGATGAGTGTGTTTTTTTTTTTCCCCGGGGGAATGGGTCCCTGCATTTGTCACGTTGAAATACGAATCCTAAGTCGCATTATGCCAAAGTGCTGTTCTGGCCGAATGCCCTCTCGTGACAAGGAAGGCAAAAGTACCAATTTTTTAAAATAGAAAGGCATGTCCAGGATAGTCGAGATGGTGGATGAAAGGAGCTGGACAGGTGCACAGATGAGGGGGGAGGAGGAGGAGGAGGAGGACATTCAACCTTAAGACGTGGGCTTCTCCTGCAAAGCAGGAGAACCCCCAAAAGAGAGTCCTAAAAATACTAGACCCCCAGCTCTTTTCGCATTTTTTTCGCCCCCCTTCACACACGCAGTCACACATGCTCACACGCACGCACTCTTCACATGCCTGTGAAGCCATGCCAGATATTTATGGGGGGTGTTCCTGGCAGGCAGGCAAAAATAACCTCTAGCCAATCTCTGCACTCCCGTTCTCCCCATCCCGTACCCCCATTTTTGCCTTTTCCCCCTTCCCCCTCGTCTTCTTTGCCTTCTCTCCCCTTCTTCTTCGTCGCCCCCTTTTTTTTTTAGATCCTTGCTTCTGCTCTTACTTACCTTCACTGTTTCGACACAGGTCCCCTTGCCGTATCTCACGTCTCAGTGGATTTTTTATTATTATCCCTCCGCGCTGCCTTGTTTTGCGGAAGCAAAATTTGGTGAAGTTTCCACCGGCGACAAACACGATTGAATTAGTACAGGAAGAGTCGCCCAGGATACGTATCGGTACTTGAGATCCGACGAAGACAAATGCTTTCTATTCCCCTCGTCCTCATGAATATTTGCTCATTAACTCGATGCATGTTCCCTTTATTTTTTTTTTTTTAACTGCACACATGCATTCAAGCGTGTAGCACTGAAGAATGCCTCCCTGGCCTTGTGCAATTTGTCCACGTTGGAGATGGAAGTACAGAGAACAGTTCATCATTGTACTTGCGTTATGTTCCTTCACGTTTCCCAACTGAAGCACAAGGTTAAATATAGTTTTTAAACGTCTTCACGTCTTCTGCAGGGTTTAAATATGGTTCGAAAATGCAGAAGTAGAGAGGGAAAAGGAGAAGGGGGAAGAGTTTCCACTCCCTTGGTCGAGTGATCATCACGGGACAGGAAACGAATGAGTTCCCAGCGACTTTTGACATCTCCGAAACCCCCTTTTTTTATCTTCTCCGTCTTGTTTCTGCTCGCGAGAGGGTGAAAAGAAGCCTTTCATCTCGTTAATTCAAGAAAGAAAAAGGGGAAACCTTTTGTCTCTACATGCATGGGGGAAACGGTTCTTTATTCCCTCACCTAATCACGGATTTGTGCTCTGCTATCTCCTGTCAGTTTCTCCGCAGATGCTTTTTTTTCCATTTCTCTGCGCTTTCAAGAAGGGAAGCAGGGCTTGCTATATGATCTAATGGTGGGGTAGAGGAGGCATCTCTGTCTCTCTCTCTCTCTCTCTTTCTCTTTCTCGCTCTCTCCCTCTCTCCCCCTCGATGGTATGGAAAAGGGAGGCAGGGGAGGGATGAAAATTCATGATTCCTCTTTTCAATTCCTTGCTTCCTCGACCACATCGGCATACTTGGACAAAAGGCAGATCTCTCTTTCCCGTCGAAACACACTCGGCTGAGCCGTATCTTTCCCTCCACCCAGTGTCCCGATCTGCGGGGAACGTCCGGTCTATTTCAGGAAGAACTCCCCTTAATTAGCGCGTGGCTTGATGGTGAAAAATAAAAGAAAAAGAAAGAGAGAAGAGGAGGAATAAAGGAAGGGGTGGGAGGATGCGAGCTCGGGTCACGTATTCTCAAGACACTTCCGCCTTGGCCATCCTTCCGCGTTTGACTTCGCTCCTCCTCATTCGATGACCAGAGGAGCACGAAAGAGGAGGCATGGGGGTGGGGATAGGAAAAGAATGGGTTGATTTTGGCCAAAGTGTCTGAGGGCCAAGGTTTTTCCCCCTCACACAGACATGGGTCTGGGTGTGTATAGTAGGGCCAGTCTCCAAGTTGGCCAACTTCTTCCCGCCTTTTTTTTTTTCTTTCACATTTTGTCCTGGCTTTTGGCATGGCATTGCTATCAGCTGTTGCATTTTGGCCGATGACTGTTCTGGCGACTTCCATCCATGGTTTTTACCTCCCCCCCTTGGCTCGGTTTCCCATGCTCAAGGCCGTTGGGATCTCACCCAAAATCTCCCCTCCTATTTTTTGCTGTTGTGTATCAGAGGAGTTCATTCACCGGCATGACGGAGTAGATGGAGTTGTTAAGTCCCATCGATGAAGATGGAGAAGGGGTATTTGGATCCGGAGTAGGTCATCCCATCAATCTCTCCGGTTGAAATCCAATCTCCTGCTTTCAATTCGTGCTCCATTAGAGATACCTGCTCTTCGTAATGGACGAGATTATGGATTCCCCTTTCCTTCCATGGAAACATATAGGGTTGCACCGTCTTACTGAATGAACGATTTTTTTTTTGGCGAGAATCATCGCCCCGATAGTACACAAGTTGACTCCCTGTGTCTTCTCCTCACTGCCAAACATTTTACATCAATGAAAAGTTCGGAGCCAAGGTTTTGCCTCTTTGGCTCCATGTCCTCGTGTCGAGAGCCAACTGGAACTATGGAATCAACCAAAGTGATACCAACACTCTCTCTTCCCCTCTCGAGTGGGAAAAAGAAGGAGTACAGTCTTGTGGTGGAGAACGTAGTAGATGGGAGTGTACCTAGATAGGTGCAAGTAAAGTAGAGGGAGATGCAAAGGAGTGTATATAGGTAAAAATATCTGTTGCAGGGGATTACTATGTCCCGGGCGGGACGGTGATGCCGAATCCGTATTGCCATATCCAGGATGCTACTAACACCATCTACGCCACCGGGGTCTTCACGGCCGTCGAACTCTGGAGGCTCTCCAAAGGTAAGACACTTAAGGCAGCCCTGCAACCCTAAAAATAATTCATTTTCCGTCTCATATGAACCATGCATGTCTCCACGGCATGGGTGTCAGGGCTCCTTGACGAATTTCATGGAATTATATGAATTGAGGAAAGTGATCATGATTTTTTGGTAGTTTTCTGTAAACTTATAAAGATACCTCTTGTTCCCACATGAAAGAGAAATAAAAGAGAGAGAGGAGAAGAGAGGGAAGGCTTTCGGTCAATCAAAGTCCACTTGGAGGGAACAAAAGTCGGAAATTGCGGCGGATGCGTGTAGGATAAAACAAATGCAATGCTAATGACCCTTCACGGACCCGGGAGAGAAGGATGAGGCCGAAATAACCCCCCACCCCCTTTCCCCTTGTCATTGTCACTCACGGGGGAAGGGAATCCAGAAAAGAGAAGGGAGGAGGGGAGAAAAAAAGAAGAGAAGGTAGATGAAGACAATTCGGAAGATGGGGAGGAGGAATAGGGATTTCATTAGTGAGAGGTATCACCACCCAATCAGAGACTTCCCTTGTCCAGCTAATTGAAACGCCCGATTACTCCATCCTTTTCCTCAATGAAGACTGATGGAACCCTGTCCCCACATCTTCCTCTCTTATATTCGCTTTTGTTCCTCTTCCTCCCTCCCACCCGAAGCCTTGATTGTGTGTGTCTCATGTCCTAGAACTGCCTTGGAGTCCTGTCCTGGCAGATGTCGCATTTCTCTCGCTCTGTCTGTTTCCTCTGTCTCGTTTCCACGATGGGTTTTCCCTTGGAGATTCGGATCGTTCAGGGTCCTTTGGGTTCTTTCGGGCTTGGGTAGTTATGATCGTACCACAAGAAGGTTATATGGCCTCATCTGGTTTGTGACTCGAGTCGAATGAGGGCTTTCGAGTTTCACGTGAATTTCCAGCAATTATGTTAATGAATTTTGCTCTTTTTTTCCCCCTTTCTTTCCATGGCCTCGATTAGATTTCGCAGTTACGGGTTGAGATTTCAACAGGACTTGACGTTGTTCCTTCGATTTCGAGCAGACGCGTTTCCAGAGACAGTTTTTGTCTTTGGATAGAGGCTGCTGTGGTCTTTATATTGCAGATGTCTGTAACTGAGATCAGTCTCTTTCCCGAAAAGTGATCGTGCCACTGGGGGAAGAGAAGACGTGGGAGATTTGCATGGAAGGGAAGGGAGGGAAGATGCAATGAAGTGTACAGTACAATGCATTCCGGGGGGAAAAAGAAGGCCCTGACATAATTAAAACTCACCCTCCTTTTGTGCCTGATGGGTTCACAAGCCACTTCCTCGACGAAAATGATGGCTTTCCGCCCTAACTGCTTTTTATGAGCGAGATGAGGAGGCCAGAGTGGATTTGCATGCCGGAGCGACAAGGTGTCTGGATTGATTTCAGTCTCATATCCGGTGAATGTACGCACACGTTGAAGACCTATTCTTCACTTGGGGGTGATTTCCACCGAAGCGTTGCGATCTCAATGGTTGGGGCATGCAAATCCCGTCGCATCTCCCGACACTGTCCATCAGTCAATTGGAGATGGGGGGAAAGGGAGGAGAGGAGGAAAAGAAAAGGAAGAAAAAAAACGAAAAGGCGAGGATGCTTCGGCATTGGCTAATGCGATGTTTTCATAATGCCTACTTCGTCTTTTAGGTTGTCAGGGACACCCTGACTTTCTTTCCCTCCTCCCATCTCATCACTTTGAGAAATCTCTTCTTCCTCTTCTCTCCCTTTTGCCTTTATCATGTTAAAGAAGGTCCCCTCCCTCCTCCTCTCTGTCTCTCTCTGTGCTTTTTTTGCGGAAAACGGATAGTCCTGGGTTGAAGGAAGGAGCTTGACACTGACCAATCGCTGAGGTGCCGGGGGTATCTTGTTCCCTCTTCCTGGGAACAGCTTTTGCATTTTGAAAGGCGTGGAAGGGACACGAGATTTTTCAAACAAGGCTAGAGGTCCGTCTGACATTGTGAGGGAACTCCAGGGCGCTGGAGCTGAAAGGATGGGTGCTCATAAGGGCAGTTTTTGTCCCAAACTGTCAGCAAAAAACGAAAGTTAGCAAAGCCGCTTGCTCTTTGCATGCCTGAGTCGATGTTTTCCGTGTGCGCAGTTTATCAACAGTTGGGTCTAAACATTTTGTATGTTATGTATTTTGCTGGATACTTATGGACACTCATTTAGTTCTGTATGGTAAAGTGTTACTGTGAAACATTGTCACGTGTCAAACTCAATGTGAGCGATGGTGTTCACAAAATGATATCACTGGCGGCGTTCTACATAACAATGTCACGTATACGGAAACAACGTAAATGGATTGGACTTTTTATGAAAAATAATTGATTTGGAGCAGTTTTCTTGCGCGGTATTACGATATTTTGGTTTGACTACTTCATTCCCTTATAGGCACCCATCCTGTGTAGGCTGGATGCTAAGTATAAAATCTAGATTAAGTTAAATCAATAGGAAGTCTAGCTCCAGTCACACGGAATTAATTGGAGTTTGTTGGAATGTGCAATCTGATGTTACCTATTTATGATGGTAGTGAGTAAATATAGGTCTGTCTCAAGAGGCACGTGAAGTGTTTGGATGTTCTATCGATGATGTGGTCAATCTGCATTCCGAGATCGTATCGAAATGGAGTGATTGTTTTGTGCTGTGTTGCAGCCTCGATCATGCAAGGGAGTTCAAATGGGGTCCAGCCTCCGATCCACTCCATCAAGATGGAGAACCCCACGTATTACTGCAACAGTTACACGCCGCCTGCATCCGACCACAATGCCTTGATGTCTGTGTCCGCCCCCCCTGGGCCCTACAGTACGTACTCGCCCAACACAGGCATGTGCCTCTCTCTTGCCTTTCCTCCGTCTGTCTCTTTCTTTCTTCATCATGCTCTCTCGCTCCTTCCCTCTCCTCACACGTTTTTCTCTGTTTCGCTGCCATTCACCATATTTGAATGCTCAGGAACTTGAACCTTGGGTCTTCGCAGGGGTTCTCACATGTGCCGAAGAAATTTTGGAGAAAATCGAATGATTACTACGATTATGCTTATAACACAACATGTATTTTCATGGCCGAAGTATCACGCATGATGCTTGTATCTGGCGCATGTGAGGACCCATGGTAGTACTTGGGTGAGTACTGGAAAGCACGCATTGCTTTCTTTTTCTTCTTTCATTTTCCCCTCTTCTTGACTCTCTCGTTCGTATATATGTGTGGCTGGCTCGCTTTCTGGTGCACAAGGCCTCTACTCTCGGCAGCAGGACACTGGGATCGTGTTTATATCTTTTTTTTCTGTTTCTCTCCCTCTCCCATCCTTGGGCCTTTTCTCTGTTTAATCGCTCCCTTCAGTCTCTTCCTGTACGTACGCACTGAATTGCCTTGCACATGCCCTGGGTGTTGTCTGGCTTGGATTCCCCCTTGCTTAGTGCTTCCTAACCCCTGCAGTATGCCTTGCTGAACTCATTTCCTCGGATTCCCCTCACTGCTGTGCCTATGAAATGATTCCTCCAAACCTATAAATTCTTAATCATGTGTTTCTAGGAACGAAGAACTTGTACAACCCTAAAAAAAATTCCCAACTTCGTCCCAATGCAATGCAATTCTATCCTATCTTTCCAGTTTGGTCTGACTGCTGAATCATGCGTGACCTCATACCCTTTCGTGCTAAACAGATATGGAAGATGCTCACAATTTAAGAAAATGTGTTGACCGTTCAATGATTTATTTGAGTTTATGGTCCTTCAAGTTGATTAATGCTTAAGCAAAAGTTTCCATTTTCATTTTCATTAACTTTTAATTAATGGACCGTGTTGCCAGTTGGCAAGATTCCTGCCCATTTTCTATTGGCATCCTGATTCTGTGATATACTGTGTTCAGGGAGAAAAAGATAAAGAAATCTCTTATTGAGGAAGTATTTTTTAAAGAGAAAGGTCTCACTTCATCCCTCCCAATGCCCCTCTTCTCATGATGCTGCAAGTAGTATTTATCCCCCGTGCTTCCTTCCCTCAGGTTTTTATCCCTTTTGTAGTGTAGATGTCTGAAGAAAGTTGCGAGAAAATCATGTTGTTTTTGACAGTGGTTAAATCAGTAACATGTAACATTTTAGGGTAGATCCCCCACCCTAGTGAGAAATTGCAGAGTTGTATTCCCTGAACAAGGAAGAGAGTGAAGAGAAAACACTTCCCTCAAGTTCCCATAAGTTTTTGTAGCTGATAGTCTTTTCCACTTATGTTCATAAAGGAGAAGTAGTATCCAAGTATTTGCTGCATACATGACAGCACTTTTCCCTCTATACTTGTCTTGTTCAGAATTTCTCGAGAAACTCCTGTGTTCGGTATACTGAATATTTATGGGAACTCGAGTGAAAGAAGAAGGTCCATGTTATTGTATACGAGTGCTTGAAAGGATGTGGATGAATGAGAGGGAGATTCATACATACGTGTAGGCCCAGTGTCATTGACTCGGCACGCACCAGAAAGCCACGGCCACAGCCAGGGTCAAACTCACAGTCACAGCCCTGGGGCGGGAAGCCCTCCGCCGAGGCGGATTCGCCTCCGCCGCTTCAGCTCCTCTGCCGACGACGACCATTCGCCTGACCAAGGTTCAAGTTCCCTCTCGCCTATTTTCCTCCTGCCTTTCCTTCTCCCTCCACGATCGTTTTCTGTGTTCGATTAGTTCACGAATCTTGAATGTCTGCGTTCTTAGTCTCATACTAAGCTGTTGTCACCATTCAGTGAGAGCGAAGGCATGTTTGCATCTTTGTTGACGTCGACTCAGAGGTTTCCCATATGTGTTTTTTGACCTAAAATAATATAATAAGAAGTCTTACATCCCGAGATATCTTGCTTGGAATCAAGAATATACTAGTCTTGAGTAGCTTGCTCGGTCTAGATGAAGGCTTCTGGCATCGTATCCTGTTCTGAAAGTCGGCGGATATACAGGGTGTCCCATAAGTCTGGAACCATAAGGTAAAATAAGTGATTCATGTGCTGCACATATGCGGGAGCGCATCATCGACGCATGTAACACCATCACTCCTGACACCATTCGAAGTGTGATTGCTGACTGGATACCACGTCTGCATTTGTGTATCTATCATAATGGTGGACACATTGAACACATTCTGTGAATACAAGTCGTTATCATCATTTTGCCCTATGGTTCCAGACTTATGGGGCACCCTGTATTATGTTAGAATTGTATTAGTCCATACTTTTTGTGAGGTCGTCAAAGATGCCAAAACTGGAATTTACCTTTATGACACAATCAGAATTGTGTAGACAAGGAGTGAACTGGTCTCATTACTTGTGAAAGACGTGAAATGATTCTGGTATATGCTTCAGGTGCTGAGACAACTGTGTAGAATTAGCTTGGTCAAGTAAAGTGATATACATATTCCAATAACTGCAATTGATTTGACTTGCTTGATCTACAAAAAAGAAAATGTCATAGATGTTCTTGAAGGATTTTATTTAATGAGCTATGTGTCTTATGCCTCTGTTGTCAACCAATGAGAGAAAAAACTCAATGAATGCTCTGAAATTTCACACAATAACTGTATGAGTATAAGTAATCTGGGATTTTTATTTATTTAGTGAACTTGTTTTCACATCTTTAATGCCCTGATCTGAGGTGATCTTCATTGTACCTATCATCATCAATGAATTTTATCATCACAGATCATGAGAAGGGAGACCCCATGTTTGGATTCGACTTCTCTGACACACTTCAAACTCATGCTGCAGAGTGTCTTGAAAAAAAAAAACAAGCTCTAGCATTCTTCATCCTCTCTATATCTCACTTTTTCACATGAAAACACAGAATTTTACTATAAGAAAAGCACATTATTTCTGCAGTAACCTGCAAAATTTCATTTCTTAACTATTTATAACTTTGCCCCATCACATTCCAATGAAATGTGTCATGGAAGCAGTGAGAGGCTTCTGCTGGTATCTGCTCCTATTGATCTTTCAATGGAAAAGGAAGAATACAATTAAAAAATATATTTTTTTAAATCGTCATAAATTGTGCTACTGAACTTCTATCCTTCCACCTCCTAGAACACAACTCACTCCTCCTGAAACATCTTTTAGTGGAAGTTAATATAAAAAAATTTGGTTATAGTAAAGAAATCCATGTGGTGACAATAAATTTTACACACTGCTGCAGAGTGAATATTCTTCTCTTAAACAAAAATTTCACTCTTCTGTGCACCAAAATGAAAAATGGAGAAGATGAAGGACTGGAATGGCTACCTTTTTTCTGGCTAGTGGATCTATGTGGTCTTCCAATATATACTTTTTTTTTAAGCTAAAAAGGTTTTTTTTTTGGTGGAAATAGAGATAACTTCATGAAAGATGGACGATTAGCTAAAAGTTCTGTGGTTCCTTGAATCAGGTCCTCCATCAGTCCACTCTCCCCACATCTTGGGCCTGAGTCCAGGAGGGAAAGTGCCAAAGATGGATCCCGGAGGCTACCCATCCTCAAGCAGCATCGTGTCCATTCACCCGCCTGTCCGAACCCCTTCATCTGATGGATCCCTCTCTAGTCAGGACCACAGGATCGTGGATTCCCCTCATGGACGAGATGGCAAGTCTTTGCCTCCTTTCACCCTTACTGTTTGCTTCCAGATCCTCTGTGTACCATTCAGAAAGACAAGAGGATGTAGGAAGGAGAATATGAATTTTAAGCAAGTCTCCATAGTAATTTTTGTCCAAAGTCTTCAGGAGGAAATTAGAATCTAGTAAGCCAACTTCAGTTCAACTTCAGTATTTCCTCCCAATTAGGAGTAATCAGTGGTATACCAAATACAATGATGTTCTGTCACTGCTTAAGCTAGTTCATCATCCTTAGTTGCATTTTTGTAAAGGATGTCATTCTTTTGACATTTTTTAATGACTTTACCATCCAAAAGTTCTTATACTGCAACCAATTCAATGGAGATACTCCCCCAAATGTTTTAAAACATTTCCCATTTCTTGTATGTTTAATTTTATAAAAAGTTGTCTTATTCCACCTACTGTATACTCTGCAGTGCCTACTGGAGATATGATGAGTAAGGGAATGCTGACAAGGAAATACAAAGTATGCAAATATAGTACTTGAATGCGATTAGTGGTGGATGTCGTCATCAGATACGGGGACATGAGTTAACGGTCAGGATGCATATCATGATATCATTGGCGGGAAGAGGGATGTGGAAGACCCAAGACCCATTCTTCATTTCCAACTCAGTGGGGGTGTCACTCGCCATGAGAAGGAGTGTCCTTAATAGGTCCAACGGGGGCCATCAGCCAACTGCATTAGCATAATAATGTCATCCAGCTTCCCTTTCACAATGGGCCCCATTTTCAAAAATCATGAGACCGATTGTGAACAAAGGGACCTTTCTTTCCCTCCATTGACAAATGAACCCTATCACTTCGTGGCCGTGGAGACTCGGTCTTGGCCAGCTGCTTGTGACCATTTCATGGGCATTAGGAACCTCTTTCCATCCCCTCACATAAAGGGGAGGCAAGGGTATGGTGCTTGAGACAAGTGCCTTCAATGAATATGTCACTGATTCCCTAACCATCTTTCTTCTTATCATATTTTCATCCTACTTCATTATCATGGGAATGATGGATATCCCCCACCCTTGTGATGATTCAATATCCCCATAGGAATACACTATTGTACTTGATGGCAGCTTTTGATCATATATTTCATTTCTTCCAGGAGGAATGGGTGGAGGTTCACTGGGTTTATCCAGCCCAGGGATGGTGGTGACATCCCATGGGAATGCCTACTATGCAGCTGTAGCTGCTGGCTCAGGTGGACCAGGAAGTCCAAACAAGTACCAAGAGAATGGAAGTGACACATTCTCAGATTTTGTAACATTGGTCTGTCAAGAGGCACAGAACACGCAACCTGTTTCACAGGTGAGAGGTGTCACTTGAATCCTGGGGAAAAGATAAGTGACTGATGAGGACATTACTGCTAAAGAAGTCCTGCTAATATCTGAGTGGGCTTGCAAGTGATTGCCTACTTATGCAGAGAGATTAGTCTTGGTCTCATCCCCATGGATAATAACTTTTAATTCTCATTCCAAATTGAGGCAAACTAATGAGAATTGGCTTCGTCCCTTCAATTGCATTCTTGTCAATTTTTCAAGAGACTGCTGAAGTTATGGGCCAATATCAGTGACTGAATTCTGGAAATGTCTTGGAGAAACAGTAAACTGTAGAGTTCCACAGTTCCTACTTTGCTTTAAATGGAAGACCCTATTTTATCTGCAATGATGCCCTCATTAATGGATTATATCAATTTGGTATAAGTAATTAAATTTTTTCTGATTTTTACAGGTGGTGAGTGTGTCAAGTTCTTCACGAGGGAAGCTCCCTCCACACTATTATGGGACGTCCATGTTGCCACCCCCACCTCCACCCCCAATGGCACGCCCTGTGGCCATCATCCGTTCCACCGGTGAATATATTGGGATGCTTAGCTCAGGTCAGCCTCTTTTCCCTACCTGCAACTCTTATCATGAATCATGCTCATTCTGAGATCCTGCTCCTTATTATGGATTTTCCAGAGGACCTAAGTGGGGGAGGATCACCTGAAGGCTCTCTTTCACATCCAGAGAGTCCCCCAATGGATGTGGAGGACCCAAGCATGTCGAGGTCGAGAGGTCATCAAGATGACTCACCTCCTCCTGCTGCCCATGCTCCCAACTCCTCGCGGATGCATTTTCTTTCGTCCACAACTGGACGACATCATGATTACAATTTTCCTCCACATCCTTCTGTCATCCCACGCTGCTCTGCTGATGTAGGAATCTATATCTCATAGAATAACAAAATTGCTTTTCTAAGATGGAAGGGAAAGCTGAGAGCTTCAAGCTAGTCAGTTGGATTAAGTCCATACAGTGTCACCAGCTTCTGGCCTGTGGAATTATTGACAAAATTCTATTCACATTAGAAAGAGAGATGCAGTCTTTGAAAATTGACTAGTTATAAATGGTTAGCATAAACAGATGATCTCTGGTTTGGTTTTTTGAAGCAAAGTATTTGTCACTTTCACCTAACCTATAAAATCTATAATAGACATTGTAAGACTTGATCTCAGATACCATCTGTTCATTTAATTTTTGGCCATATGAGGCAAGACCTACACCAGCTACTGTCATATTATAGGTTATGCCTAAAGGCAGGATATATGAACATAATTTGCAATCTATTTTTTTTTATTGCATTTTTCTGCTGCATGCATTCCAAAACCAGGTTTGTATGGAGACTTTCCTCCATTAGGGATTGATATGTGTTAGGACTGCTAGTTCTAAAGGCCTATTGACATCCAAAAATGAGTGGAAGTAATGACTGAGTCCAGAGACCAGACTTGGAGGAATGACTGGAGGAGAGACAGTACAGTGAACATTTGGAGAGCATTAAACAAAGCTTTTGTTTCTTCAAAAAAATTGATGACTTTATGACTGCCTCCAACCTAGACATTCCATAACAACAGTCTGGTTTTATTCTGATGCAATCAGTCCAGGTGATAACAGGAAGTTTCAATTATTGGCAAGTTTTGGAAGCTCAGGAAATATTGCATCCCAATTCCTTTATTTCTTCAATTTATTAATTTGCTACTAGGAAGAAAATATTATTCATATATAAGTAAAGAATAGGTATGAAGCATATTTCCTATGGTAGACCTTAATTAATCTCTGATGATGAAGCGTAAGTCATGGACAGTATGAGTGAGATTCCTCCAATAGATCAATTCCAATACATTGATGCCAAAAATGTTATTCTTTAACCCTTTTAGTGCCAGGAACTACATATATTGCCAATCAAGCCAATGTGTGTGGCACTAAAAGGGTTAATGATCAGTGTTTGAGCTCAAATTTTCACTTCTCAAGTGTTCACCTTCCCAAGTTAGTGGATTTCATACTTTATTTGATAGTGCATCAGTATGAACTTACCTTTCCAGGCAAGAGTCGTTTCAAAGTCTGTATTTTCATCAATTGCTGAAAGGGTAAATAAAATACAAAGTCAGCCAAGGAGAAGTTAGCAAATTGTATCTAAGACCTGAAAAAAAAGAGAACACATTGAACACCTAGCATTGTCATACTAATCACCATGCCTGTCTATCAATCTGTGATTACAGTTGCCGCCAGGTTACAGCGTCTCCTTTACCAACATGAGTCCAACATCAAGCGGTGGACCTGGTCATGGATCAGCCAGTGCATCCATGACAGGAGTCATCAGTCCCACAAACCTGAGCCTGTTCACATCCCCATCAAGTACACCCCCTCCGGGACCACCTAGTTCTTCTCGAGGTCAAGCAGGGAGTGGAGGTGGAGGAGGAAGTGGAGGTGGAGGGTCAAGGTCTACCCCAACGCCTCGCTGGGGTTCAAGTCAGTTCATGCCACTAGATGAGAACATGGACTATCAAATGATGTCAACCCTCATGCCACCTGGACCCAGTGAAGCCCACTCTTCCTCAGGACCTCCTTCTCAGGCACCCCTCATGGATGATGGTGAGTGAGATGCAAATGAAGTAGGACTCTCCATAGTTTATGACTACATTTGTTTGTTTCTTCTAGCTTGGTGTAGTTCATGTTAATGTCAACAATTAAATTATCATGTCCTGTTTCCATTCAGTGGGCATGCAGAAAATTTGAATAGGCTTGTAAGACTTCAGGTTGACTTTGTGCTTAACATGTTCTGAGTTTTCTTAATTATCCAATGAGCTAGTTGTCATTTTTTCCCATATCCATAGTACATTAGCATAAATGCAGCCTGTTATTGCCTGTATGCAGAGCGATACTTCAGTCCAGTGGAAGATGGTGGAGTGAACAGTACGTCTGGGAGTGGGAGCTCGGGAGCAGGAAGTTCCCAGCCGCCTTCTGTCCCTCCACCTCCTTCACCTGCATCTTAACTTTCGTGACAAAGATGAAAGACTCCCTGCTGAACTCCAGTTAACCCCTGCATCTATATAGATATCAATGATTTGCATCCTCTCTCCACACATTGAGGAGAACAGTGTGATGACAGTGGCTCAGTGACTGCATATAAAACCGTGGCTCTCTGACCTGCCCTGAGGTTCCACCCTAGGCTCCACTTTTGTACAGATCTGGCATGGATACAATGAGTTAGATCTGAGTATTGTTCTGGTTTTCTGTTTCCTCTGGAATCTGTGAGTGAGGTTGGTCAGGTGTGTCTCTTTTGATGGTCTCTCTCTCTCTCTCTCACTCAAAAGGTTGTGTCTCTAATCCTGCCCCAGTTGATGCTGAAGCCTAAAAACTTCCAAAGCTCATGGGGCAGGTTTTTGTCATCGTCATTGTCATAGGAGCTTTTCTTAGTGCCTTCTGTGCTCTGAGATAGGAAAGATCTTCCGTTTCTTGTTCTGTCTGTTTTTAGGGATGGTTGCGAGCTTCCCAATTTTGTACCTGTAAACCGTGTGCCAAATCTCTTGTCATCAAGATATATCTGATATACCATTCAGTACAAGTTCTGTTTTGGCTCATCGAAGAAGCCATCCGATTCGCATCGTCTGTCATTTACCGTACTCACGTCCAGCATTGTCATTGAGAGTCTTTCGCATCAGCAATATTTCTCACTCCTCCAATCCACGTAGTCTTCCTCGTAGGTGCATTTACCATGCGAAACGAATCTAGTGAGGTGTCTCAAGTGAATCTGTCTTCGTATAGGGACATGTAGGAGAAAAAATAAAACATAAACATGAAGGAAGAAGCCATGGCAACACTGTGATTACGGAATGTGATGTAACTTATATTCAGAATGTGTACGCCATTTGTAGGGTCTAGGTGCTAATGCCACGTCATTGTGTGTTTATGACTGATCCTTATTTCGGAGAATGGGTGGAACTTCCAGGGTGGGCAGGGAATTCCCAGGCTGACCTCTGACATGATCTTGGGGATCATTATGCATGTGAAAAGTGCAAGGGAGCAACCGGTCTATGCAGCAACTCAACCCTGGTGTCCTTTTGAGAACCATAATGAGACTAAGACTCTCAAGAGGAGCCCTGCCAGAATTGTGTGTTGTTCTGCTGTTTTGTCTCTTGCAAGGGCATTTTTCCAAAGTGTGATATGTAATATTTGGTCGTAGGAAGGTACTCCATCTTTTTTTATATTAATTTTTGTCTCTTTTAAGTCTAGAGCATCTAGAGCATCTTTCTCTCTTTCCGTCACATGAACTAGTGCTTTCTTGAACACGTAGATGCCTTGTTGCTGCGCGCCTGTCTCCTGCCATTCACCTAGAATACTCAGGTCCTTCGGGTGCTTGCCAGTTCTCGCGCTCTCTCAATTTCTCTTTCTCTCTCTCTTTCTTCCTCTGTTTCTCCCTTTCTCCTATCCTCCCCCTTTTCTTTCTCTGCTTCCATTTAAGCAATATCTTCACTGTTATCATGCTTGGATTTCTGAATTTTCCTGTCGAATCAAATCAAAAAATGGGCACTGCAGACAAGAGAGATGGCAGGTTGCAGCACTTTCAGAATCCTCTTTTCTTTCTGTGAGAGGACACACACAAACGACATAAAGCTCAAATTGTAGTGTTTGTTGACTTAGAGACTTCTTCCATCCGAATGCCTTGATTTTTCTATGGATGTGAGGTGGTTGTAGCCTTAGCTAGCCAGCCATAGTTTTCTGACAACTGATACCTGCCACCATGACTATGCAAGAGCATTAACCCATAGTGCTCTGTATCCAGTACTTGTACAATTTTTTTCTTGTAAACTTGACATTTCCTTTCTTTGCAGTTCTGCAGAGGTTGCAACCTTTGCAACATTTCATGTCAGTTCACACTTGGAGAAAGTTGCCTTTGACTAACTGAAGCAGAAATGAACTATTTCAACGAAATACTGTCCAGAAGAATTTCTTCCAATCAGGACCGAAAAGTGTATGCCAGAGCCCCAATTCTTGGCTGGGGTTGTGTACAATATGACAGGTATGAGTGCAAAGTGGTGCATGAATGAGTCATTGCTATCTAGGTATGTTTTTTGTAATAGAGAAAGAGAGAAGAGGATGAAACAAGGTTAATATATTTGTATAGGCAGTTTTTTGTATTAAGTGATGCGTTTTTAACATGTAGTGATGTCAGATTTGATCCTCTCATCTCTCCCTCTTCCTGTTTTCTCAATAGAGGGGGAAAAAGATATTATGATCATTATGGATCTAGGGAAGCAGCAATAATATGGTATCTTCCATGATATTTTGTAGAGGTGCAACAATATATCATCAGTAATATCAGAATCAACTAATATACTTTATATTGGTGGATATCGATATCAGCGATATTTGGCAAGCTGATATGCAGATATCAGCATTGAAGCTTCAATGCATAGATTAATCCTTGGTCTTGTTTGAAATGTAATCCTGCAGAGAAATAATGACTTGACTTTGACTTGAGATGGTTCTTTTTGCCCTTTTTGAAAGATTTTCTGCATCTGCAGTTTTTCAACACCTCTGACAGCCCTGGTATTGGTTTTCAAAATTTTTTAATCCTGATAATCAGCATATCAGATGTATGCCAAATGTCAGTATTGTTACACCTCTAATATTATGATTATCCTAGGCATGTTTCCATGGTTCCTTGACAAGCACAGACTCAAGTGTGCATGCTGCTGGAAATCCTCAGTCCTTCACTGGGTGTTTGCTCTCTGGCAATTCAGAAAACAGGCTTTATCTTTTTGTTTCTTTTGCTTGTTTTCTGACTGTACAAAATAAAAACAGATGAATTTCTTTATCACAATCTTCTTCTGAGGAGATCTGACTTTATACGATATGACGGTCGCGAATAGCCACCCTGTGAGAGGGAACAACCATGTCTAGTCGTTGGTGCATCCATGGCTACCGGTTAAGTATTAATTACTTCAAGAATATTGTCTGGATTGAGTTTTATTTGTATGTCATGCCCACTAAGACTCGCAATGTATGATGGGCCAGATGTTGCATTTTTCATATCCTTTGCCCTGTTTGAAATTTTTCATTTTCGTCACATTTTTGTTCATTTTGCTCACTGTCTTTTGTTTTCTTTTCTGTTTTTGTTTCCCAGGTTCTCACCTTTTTTTTTCTTCCTTGTGTGTGTTTTTTTTTGTTGGTGCTATTGTATCACATTATGTGAGAGAGAGAATATTAATATAATTTTTTCGTGTCTCCTCTTGGGAGAATGCAGACTTGCGGTGGATCATTGTCAGCCTGGTCTGTCAGCTTTAAGGAAATGACAGAACACCAGAAGGTGGTCTTTTCTCTCTTTGTCCTTTTTTTTTATTAGTTGGTTGAGATGATTATTGAATTGGATTATGTGTTGGAGAATGAGGAAGAAAGGAAGAAAATATAGTATGCTGCTCCATACATCCCTCATGTCTCAATTTATTCCTCCATCAACACAATGTTTCATTCTGCATGCAAAAAATACCAGCAAAACCAATGTTAGCTATTTTAATGCGTTCTTAAACTGTTTAAGGCAAATGTGCCTGTCAATAGGGGGAATACTAAGTACCTTGAGTTTCATGAAAGTTCATCATTTGAGGTATTTCTACTTGAGTCAATGATGTTAAAAGAAGCCCAGGTATTCTTTACTTTCTTTTATGTAGTAACCACTGAATATGGAATTTCAGAGCAGAGTAGATAGTCTCTGTCCCAAAATGTAAGAATCATTCTGGAATTCCTTGGCTGTCGTCGAGAGGTTCCAATTTTATGAAGATCAGTTAAGAGCATCACCTGAGCTTTGAAAAGTAAGAAACACTTGAAATTCGTAGATTCAAAACTGACGACGCCACGTAGGAGCTTTCACGGGGCACTCAGGTTTTTGTGTTTAACGAATGAGCTATCAGAATTGTTTTCCCGTCTGGGCGAGGAGTTTCTTCGAGTAGATATTGAATTCAACTTTCTCCGCCTTGGGAGGTACAAGTACCTAAAAGGTACTTGTTGACGCAGAGACTTTCACGTTTCTGCTTCCCGCTTTCACCCCAATCGCATTCATTTCCACGTGTTTTCATGTTCTGATGCAGCTGGACTGATCCCCGCGGACTAATTACATCTGACTAATTACGAGAGTGTGACGTGACATTGAAGACTAAATGGAATCGTAAGTGCGTGAACCGTGGCTTTTCGTGGCTTCGCCAGACGGCGTACCCGTGACGAAAGTGGCGACCGGAAGAGCGCGATTTTACACGGTGTGCCATTCCAAAAGCGTTCCTGCAGAATGGCACGTGCCATTAGACTGCGGGGTAACACGGGATGCTTCGGTGAATCTGCGATGCGCATGTACAGGGTATTAGATTCCTGCGTCTCCTTCCGCCTCATTTTACGCGATGTTAAAATTCCATTACTCCCCTGAAAGAAATAGCGTGGCATGTCACCATCACTTGATCCTTTGCCTTTAGGTGACGTACATGACAAACACGAGGCAAATCACCCCGTCACACTTTTTGGCGCATGTTATAGCATGCAACATAGAAGCAAATCCCGGACCATCCGGATCTCGGAGTGCAATTCATCATGCAACCCCGCAAAGCGTTTCGTCTGCTCGGCTGACATTATGCGCATCCGAGCGGTCCAGAGCACCCTCCAACCTCTCGTTTCGAGATTTTAATGGCTGACCTGCACCGTCAAAAACTCGGGCGGTAAAAAGAACCAGTCAAAGCGGAAAATGTATGTAAATTCGTTATCAACGCTTCATAATGCTTTTCACTTTTGTGAATGAAAAAAATGGGAGCTCCGAATCCCCCACGTCTTCATGCTCTTTCCCCTCCATCATCACGGCCTAACACAAACACCGACGAGCCCAGGAGCCTACAATCGCTTGCACACTGAGGAACATCCACCAACGCAACCAAGCAGACGCCCGACGAGGCATCGCTGCCCGGAGAGAGTCCTCTGCGGCACGGGCATCCCAGAGAGTCCTCCGCGGCACGAGCATCCCGGTCGCTTCATCGTTGCCCGTGTGTGCTGGCTTCCGGAAGGCAATATTCCCATTGATTTCTTTGCACTGGGAAGATATGAACCAAGTTTTATATCATCGTCCTTTCAACTTTGCTCGAAGCAGAGATGCTGCCCCAAACGACACGAACTTCTCATTCATATTTCTGATATTCAACCTGGAAATAGAAATGGCTATCCTAATTGTGCAAATTGTTAGAGTATGCAATCCGAGTGCTGGGTTCTTGCATTTGAAAGAGCCGCGAAACTTTTGAAAGGCAAAATATGGAAAAGTCCATCTTCTTTACATTCCGATTTAGTGATTTTCACTTGACTTCGACAACGGTGCATGGTGAGGGTGATATAGAGGATCGACGCAGAAACTAGGAGTTCCATTCTTAAGTGCAGATGTGATGATAATGGCGACAACGATGATGATTAATTTCCTACTGAAGAGAGGAAAATCAATATGAACCCTCGTAAATTCACAATACATTCAAATGATCATTTAATGTCGTAGTGAAAAACTAGACTTTCGCGTCACCCGTTACTGTATTCCTTAATAATATAAATAATTATTTAAATTAAGTAATTATAATAATAAGCAGGTGAGGTTTTGGGCATCGTTCCCACGCCGAACTCACATAGGCTAGATTAGGCCTCTCTAACGTGGACCTGGGATTGTCCATCGAAGTCCGATCCAGTGTTTCTACATGGTTGAGCCAACGGGAAATCGAAAACTTAGAGCCTTATTTTATTTAAATAGACTGCAAGGAAGGTCTCCTGTTGACAACGTGGCTTTGCTCGCGGGTCATCGTTTCCAATACATAGTTTGATTCTATGAAAATGCCTAAATATTCGGAGAGAAAGGTGTCGCTTGTCACCCGGGGCACCAGCGCCCTCGCCTCCTCTCTGAATGCCTCCTCTCACCCCACGCATTGGTGTCTTAAGTGAAAAATTGTCTAACCGAAGTGGATAACACTGTAGATCGACCGAATCGCAATCCAGCGATGATGCTGACGTCATCTAAGATGGCGGCATCATCGCCTCGCAATTCCTCTGTCAACCCTCGTAACCTTGACGTTTACCTTGGATTTGCTTGTGCAAATTATGAAAGCATGATCGACGCCTGCATCAATCAGCCGAGGTCGCCTTCGCCGGAGCAAAGGTCAAATTCAAGGCCTATAGGCGTTCTTTCAACGCGGTCACTCCTCGGCATGTTGAGCAATCCACTCCGGAGTCCCCCGCCGCGTTTTTCTGCATGTTTATCAATGACTTGACTCCACGGACGCACCCATTCACCGACAGCCGAGCGTGGAAGTCGAATGACACGAAAAGAAAAGGAAAAAAAAAAAAACCTTTTTATTTCAAAACTCAGTCGCGATCGATGCAGCCCGTCTCCGTGTCGCCTTCAAGCGAACGAGCCGGTCTCGAAGCTCGGCGAGGTTAGGCCTTTGGTTGGGCCAGCTCCAATGCCGATGTCTGAAGGCAAAACTTACGGGGAAAAATTAGAGTGAATGTGTGAACCCGAAAAATCGGATTATATTTCAGTCCCATTCGAGGAACTGGCGGAATAAAACAGCGGTAAAGAACTGGAAATCATTGTCCCTCCTTTAATGTTATGCATTTGCTAGAGATGTGTCGTTAAACGCGCTTAATAGTCGCAGTAGGTAACAAACTAACCATTGACGGACTCAGACAGTACTAAATATGGCCTCTATCGTTTTTAGGGTTAGGCCTATATGAATTAATGCGCTCACTTTTCATTCAGCAATCAATCGGCAACGGCCGATGGCTAGGAGATGAAAATCAGCCATCGGTACGGCTTCACTTCTTTATCTCATCGGCCTGCAGAAATGATCGCTTTTTTCATCCGGTTCGAAGAATTTCGCACTCTGCGGTTGGATTCTTGCGAATGACGGTTTTCAATTGCGGGATCATTTTTTTGGTCTCTGAAAGTTTTCATTCTTTGATTGTTCCGCGGAAATGTGAAGAGACCTCGGAAGACGGACCAGAAAAAGGCAGAACTGCGTTCTCTTCATACTCGCCTCCAAAAGTTCCTTCGCGAAGCGTAAAAAATTATGTCGATGGGGAACGAAGCAAAACGAGATGGTGGCTATTCCACAGATGGCCTTGGCAGGGTCGTGGCTATGCCACCGTTGGCCTTGGCGGAGAACGCGCGATGCGAAGCATCACGCGTTCTTTACAGTGTTGTTTACAGTTCTTTACAGTGTTGCACCCGATGCAGTGTTGCACCCGATGCAGTGTTGCACCCGATGCAGTGTTGCTCCCGATGCAGTGTTGCTCCCGATGCAGCGGCGGGAGTCGAGTCGTTTGGATGGAAACGCAGAGTCTAGATGGCGCCACGCATTTGCCAAGAAGGCGTCGTACATCCCACCACTCCGTTCGGCTGGTTGCGATTGTAAGCTGGTAACCTGGCTCTAGCTCCGACTGATTTCGATCCCCGAAAGCTGATGGGAGGGTGATGTCGAGAGTTGACCGAAGATTCCGGCGTCTCTGCGCTGTTCAACTTCGATCACATATCGAAGGGCCGTTTATACTTCCTCATAATTTTCGCGTAACTTTTTGGAGCTTTCCTCAATTTCCTCGCAAAATTTCCCGTCGGTAGTTGCCACCGGTGGCACGATAGGTGGCATTTTGAAGGGAACATGCAATCGAGACATTAGGAAATGGCTGGAGCTGGACACCTCTCCTCCTCCCCCTTGGACACCCCCCCCCCCCTTGACACCTCCCCTCCCCCTTGGACACCTCCCCTCCCCCTTGACACCTCCTCATTCATTTCAGCTGAGAATTTTCAGATTGGAGAAACGGGGTGCCCGTGAATGATAAATGAATATATTAAATCATCTCCGAAAGATCGATCGGCAGCGAAGAACCGAGTAAGAATCGTGTGGGATCGCGCTCCCGAGCCGAGAAGACTTCGTCGCTTTTAGGCGAGTCAAGGCATTCTCAGGTTTTTCTAAATTCATTTTGTGGCCTCGTCAGTGCGAGATTTAAAAAAATAATTTATCATATCTGTCGGTTTTCTCAATTACGAAACGATGAATCGTTTCCCTCATCGAGGGAATCCGCACGTGGAATTCGTGCCAAAAGAAAAAAAAAATCGTCCTGCAAACTCGATGAACCGAAACGGCCGTTTCTTCGCCTTTCCACGTGGAAAAGCCGGAAAAGAAAGGTAAAGTTTCATT